CCTCACTGTTGTATCCTCAGCAGCACCCGTGTGCTAAATGAGCTGCTGACTCATTGCATTACAGGACTGTGCTAAAGTTGTATCGATTACCTTGTCACCGTGCTTCCCAGACTTCGGCTGCATTCTGCCTTTGGACTGCCCGTCTCCTCCCCTGATGTGGAAGCCCAGCAGCCAGCACCCCTGCCCCATCCCCCAGGTGCTTCTTGCTGGGAGAAACGTGCTCTGGGACAGCCCTGCTCCTCCTGCAGCAGCACCTGAACTCCTGGTCCCTCCAGCTGGGACATGCCAGGACAAGGAACCCGCAAGGTCCCCAAATTGCACCTCGCATCCTTGCAGTCCATTCTTCTCCCAGATATTTGAGTTTGGGAGCTTCCCAACAGCAGTTCCCTCCAACCCCTGCAGCAACTCATCAGGCCCCAAGGTGGCTGCTACTTTCCTGTGTGATTTTTGCACACACTCCCTGTCTCCATGACTTTGAAAGCACCTCTTCCCCTGGCAAAGCAGAATGACAAACGGCAGCTGCTGAAGGCTGGGATTTCTGCCTCCTCTCTCATATTTTCCAAATGCTGACAGAGACCTGCATTCCCCTTCCTCAGCCCTCCAGCCATGGTGCAACGTGTACGTTTAGGGACCTGATAGGTAAACACATAGTAAAGCTGTCAGGGAATACGCTAATTTATTCTTTATTGCAAGCTGTACCGTGGGCCAGCAGCTGCACGGTGACTTTTCCAAGCAGTCACTGAATCAGCCCAACATCCCAGGGACGCGCTGCCAGCATGTGGCCGTTCTGCTGTGCCAAGTCGGGAGGGATCCCAGCCTCGGTGCTCAGCACAGCACTGCTCCCTTGGGAACCCCACAGGGACTGGTACATGCCTGGGATTAGATGCCCTTTTGTGGGCCACTTCTGTGCTGGCAAGGCTGGAACTGGCACCCTGGTGCCACCTCCATCAGCAAACCTTTCCAAGTGGGTGCACGTGCACACCAGGCTTCAGTACAGAAGCTGGCACAGTGCCCTGCAACTGTTTGTTGGCTCACAACTGAGAATTACCCTCCTGTTCCTTCCCGTGTCCTCGCTGATTTAATTTCCACTGACAGGCTGGGAACTGCACTCAGCTGCTTGCCTGTAATGCGGTTACAGCCACCAGGTGCTCAGCCAGGGGCGGAGAGGGGACGTGGTTCTGCTGATGTGTGTGCTGGTGCTGGGGGTGCTGAGTCTTTCCAGCCCCCCTAATTAAACTCCTGGTGGCTTCAAGGGGCACCTGAGGTGCTCAACAAATAGGGAAAATCTTATCTACACAATGACATGTACCACCCCCCCCCAAAGGGCACTGTACACTGCGAGGTTGGAGGTGGTCTGGATAAAACAACCCAGAACAGCTGGAGATGAGGCCAGTGAACTAAGGTTAATTGGTCCTATTGCTGCACCCTCTCCCCTCCGATTCCTTTTTAGGTGCTTGTAATATTTGGACAAAAACTACCCTTAAAAAGAAAAATTTTCAGGCTGCGTTGCAGCCCGGTGATGAGGCTTAGAAAGCCACTGGGCATTCCCTAGGGCACCACTGTTTGCTCTGAGCTGCGTGTACTTAATGTCTCTCTTTGCATAAGCTCATTCTGTTGCCCTCCTTATAAAGCAAACCTGACACCAAGCCTGATGAGCTAAAGGATGGTGTTAGTGGTGGCAAAGGGTAACCAGTAGATGCTGGTGTTGCTGTGGGACTGATACCTGTGAGCTTTGTCTGCACCCTGCCTTGCCTTTTCTGCTCTCTTTGTTCTCTGAAGCACTGTGGCAGCAGTGCAGGGATCCTGCACACATAACATATTTGCTTTTTGAGTCCCAACTTGCAGCCTTTACTCAGGTCTGGGGGGCTATGGCGAGGATGTATTGCTCCCTGGTGAGGGTTAGGGTAGTGTCATATGACAAAGCCTGAGAAGTGAGGTTCTGCTCCTCCTCCTAGTCACCAGCTTGGGCAGAGGTGCAGGGATCTCTGTTCCCCTCTGCAGCCCCATAAGCTCCCCAAAAGCTAGCTGTTTTGAACCTCAGGGACATGCCATTGAATATGCCACCACCATCTGCCTCCCCCTCATCGTTTATTTTTATTTGGCATGTACCCTGCCACCAAGTTTTCTGTTAGCAAGAAAAGTAAATTCCTGATTTCTGGGTCTGTAACCTCCTGCTCCCCCATTTGCATTCGTGCTCTGAGGTAGTTTAAACCGATTTCTAGAGAAATATGCACAAGAATATGTGCTATGACTCCAAGGGTGTATGCTGGCTGGCTCTGGAGGATTGCAGAGCACCACGCAGAACGAGCCATCCCATCTGGGCTCGCCCTGCATCAGTGCTACATTGCAAAGTGCCCATTGAGCTGAGGGGAGGGTTCACCTTTTTTGGACACTGAAGGTCTCTAGCAAGGCTCATCAGCAAGTCATGGGAGATGGGATCCACCAGGTTGAGGAAAGTCGCGTTTTTGTAGAGGACTTCATTGAGGAATGTTCCTTCCAGTCCCAGGTCCTATGAGAAAAACAGAAAGATATACGGGCTTCCTTGGAGCCATAACCACGAGGTGCCAGCTGGTTACTCAGCACAGGAAACTATCTAGCAAAGGTGAAGCAGCTGTGCCTGACCCAGCATTGCGGTGATGGGGAGAGCTGCATGAGATTCAGCGTGAAGCTGAGTCAGTCAGCACAGGGACCAACCGCCTCGTTTCCAGGTACTGCAGAAAGGTAAGAGCAGGATCATTTACAGGCTGGATGGAGCCCAGAGTGAATTCTCTCCAGAGAAACTCACAGTTTTGTCAGCCTCAGCGTGTGAATCTGGAAGGCGCCATGCAGAAGGGCTGGCTCCAAACCTGCTACACCAGTCTCAGCTTTTCTGGAAGAATCAAACATTTTCCACAGGTATCCAGATACTGCCATCTATCCTGCTCCTGTCCATCAGTATGAGTTGAGCTGAGCTTTGAAACTTTCAGTAAGCACTAAGCACTGGCAGTATTATTTTTTTTTTAGGGTGTAATGGTAAATTTATAGTTAACTCTGCAGGTCAGTTGTGGGGAGTCCTCTTTCCATCTTCCACAATGTGAGCTAGGGGAACAACTTACATCTATGGACCCCAAGGTACATGACACCTCTGGGCATAGCAGAAGAAACCTCAGCATCTCTGGGAACAAGATGCCTCCCTGGGGGCCAGATGGGTGATACTGCAAAGAACTGTGCTCTTTTTTGCTAAGAGGAAAGCTAAAAACCTAATAAGACAAGTATTACAACTTGCAACTTGGAAAGCAAGACTGCAGAAACTTGCATGGAAATACCCTGAGGGTAGAAAAATACCCCAGCAGCAGAAAAGTAGAACAAAAAAGCTCCCTAACTGGGATGGTGCTGAGTTTGATTCCGTTGACAAGGAGGGCTCAGCTGAGGGAGGAAACAAGTCCTCTGCCCATTCTGCATGCTGCTGCCAGGAGAAATGAATAAGCAAATGGGTGCCCCATATGTTCACACTGCTCCACTGAATGTGTGCTTCAGGCACCACCCAGGGGAAGACGCACTGAGAGCTCTTACAAAAAGAGAGAGAAAGCTGGGCGTGCACGCACACACAAACACATAACCAGCAGGGACAGAGCCACAGTTGGCAGGGGTGCTGGATCTTAACCCTAATCAGCAACCAAAGCCAGCGCTGTATCCACTCTCTCCTGCTCTGGGTATGCTCAGACCAAATCAAGCAGAGAGCACAACAGAGACGGATCCTGACTGCAGATCTGATGGAGAAAGGGAGAATAAATCAAATGCTTTACAGCCCCGCTGCTGTGTGTACACAGACGATACCCGCAAGCAACCAAGGAACCCAAGCAGTGGATCAATCCTGAAGGACAGACACAGCTGGATATGGGCCAGGAGTGTACCCAGGCGTCATGCCAATGTCTCCTTTAACTGTAAGGCTTCAGGGAAACGGAGCCTCCTACACAAAGTGTAACATGCATAGACGAAGAAAGCTGCCAAGAGGATGGCATGGCTGAGCATGCAGCAGTGGATGTCAGAACAGTAATTAAACTCCCCTAGTTGGAGCTATACCACTAAGTTGAATCTGCATTCCCATTATAAATCCTGCCTGCAAGGGTTTTATATAAAATATAGGTGTGGTTATTCACTTTGCACTGACAGTCCATAAATTCTTAGCCCAGGGCAATTTTTTAATTCATCTTATTTGTATTCCTCCCTTGCACTCTCCCTCTCTTTCTTCCTCCTCTCCTCCCTCGTTCTTTGGAAAATGGGCCACCTAAAGGGTGGCTGCAGTTAGCAGGAAGCAGAATCAGAATATTATCAATCTGGGCAGTTCAGTTGGCTTTGTGCCGTTATCTTCAAAATGACACTTGGCCGGTGTCTCAGCCCAGGGAAATCAGATTGTACCAGACTTTTTGCTGGTCTGTCTAACGTCTCCACTAGCTCAGCTGAGCAATGCCCACTCACACCAGTAGGAAAGCTGGCCTGTCTTTTGCAGGTGGATGTTTCTGGGACTAAGACCATGTGCAATGGAGCTGTCAGAGTGCTGCTGTACAAAAGAAATGTGGATGAGTGTACACCTGCACTTTGCAGTTGTTCTCAGTGTGCAGTCTTCTAAAATGCAGAAATTTTGCATCCCTGTTCAGTGGATCTGCTTAGAGCTGGCTTTCTCTATTTAACTACACCCTCCTGATGTCCTAGGAACAATCCACAGCCCCTTGGGGTCTGTAGCCCCCAGGCTGAAAAGCACTGGCAGATCCACTTACAGCCTGCAGGTCCGAGTCTGCTGGGAGCAGCAGCCGCCTTGCAGCAGGAGGCACTCAGCAGCAGCCCATGCGCCTCGGTCTGGCTGAGTGCATCTGCTCCATCAGGGAGGTTGCATTTCTGCCTCCAAGGTTGCTCTACCTTCCCTGGGGGTTGCAAACACCCCAGCCTAAGGCACAGTGACAAGGTATGGTGTTAAGTGTCCTTGCTGTCCACTGGAGTGAACAAGGTGTCTCTTTTTACAGGTAACAAACAGACCCTCAGCTGGGATGCCTTTGTCAGCGACTCCTGAGAGCGTGTTACTGCCCAGGTAAGCCAGTCTGTGTAAGGAACGCTGTGCTGGGCACCAAGCTAAAGGCTGAATTTGCTTCAAGAGTGATGCAGTTTTGTAAAATGATGAAAGAGGCTGATCATGGTACGCTTTGAAGCTGACATTGGACACATGAGGAGGACCGGTTGTGAGTGCCTGACCCCAGCCTGGCTGATGGTTGTGTTCAGTTGTTGAAAGGTGTAACACACCATAGCAGTGTCGCTCTCTGTCTCTGAAATCTTTGAGTACACCAAGAATGGGAGATTCTGGGGGTGTTGGATGGGTTCTGCCTAACTTGGCAGAGGAAGGCTGCAGTGTGAGTACGGGATGCGTGTCCCATTGTGGTGGTGTTTGCAGATGACTGGGCGGTCGCTGTTTTGGCATGGACGGGCAGAGGTAGGGACCAGAAATAACAAGGAGAACTGCAAGGGCAGTGGGCAAAACATGCCCAGGACATGGCAATTCTCAGTGCAGACTTGGGAAGCTGGGCACCCAGCTGATCCCGAAAGGAACTGTCAGGCTGCATGGAAAGGAGGGCTTAGAAAGGACCCTCTGCTCCCAATGGCCCTGTGAGTCAGCATTCAAAGCCCGGCTGTTCCCAGATGGACCTTCTGGAGACCTCAAGGTCTGTGAGGGATTTCAGTGCTTCAGCCTCAAGGAGAGGCACTGAGCATTATAGGAAATGACATTTTGTAATTCTGGCCTCTGGCAAACCCTGCAAAAGTCTGTTCATGTTATGTTGCCACACTTATGAAGTCAATGGCTGACTCTAACAGTGCTTTTCCAAAACAGCCTTTGAAATCTTATTCAGTCCTTGTCTGCCATACAAGCTTTTTGCTGAGGGTTTATCTACCTACATGTGTGCAAGAAGGGGTTTGTAGCGCTGGTAGTACTCCTCACGTGAGCTCTAGGGCACTGGACATGAAAAGCAGTGATGTAATTTTAGGTCTTGTAAATTCTTAGTCATAAAAATGCAACTTGCTGGTAGCGCACTGATCACCACTGTCAGGTGTGTTGCAAAACCTGGGGCTCTGGGAGCAGCCAGGGCTGTTCATGCAGCTCCCTGCGGCTGCTGCGCTCTCTGGTAGCAAGCCAGTCCCTGCTCCAAAGGGCTTGTGCCCAAAGGCTACTTGCCACTGTAGCAAGACACTGGTTGGGGTCCCAAGATATGTACGTGTCACTAGATAACGAAGCAACGTGATAAGCTAAGAACTGATGCTGTTTTATGCCTGAGCTGCTATTTGTGACGGAGTTGCCTGCAATTTGGGGGAGCCGAGTTTGTCTGGAAGGCGACGGTAGCACTGAGCAGCGGAGGAGCTGGCTCTGCTCCAGCAGCGGGGCTCTGTGCTCAGCATCACTTTGGCACCAGGCTGTCTGCACGCTGCCTTCTCTGTCCCCGAATGGCGGCAGACAGAAGCAAGCTCCCACTGATACACTGACCCCTTTCCCTCTCCTCCCAGCCCGGGCTGTCCCAGGCAGCCTCCCCAACGCCGTCTTGGCTGCTCCCGGAGCCAGCTCTCGGCCAGCCTGCCTGGGCGGGGGGCCCGGTGGCAGTGGGGTGGCCGGCGGCTTTCCCCTGGGGGGCCGTCGAGGCTGGGTGCGGCTGCGGCTCGGGGACCCCTTTCCCTGGGGGCTGCGCAGCCCCGCTCCCGACCCCTGTTCCCGAGAGGGGGCGACTCCCGCCGGGCAGCACAAAGAGCCGCGCCCCGGGGGGCTGCGGACCCGCCCCGCCGGGCTGGGGAGGGGGCTCCGGCTGCTGCCCCCCCCCCCGGCTGCTCCTGCCCGAGCATCCCCGGAGGTGGCGGCACGGCTCGGCTCGGCAAGGCTCTACCCGGCCAGCCCAGCGCAGCCCAGCCCGCAGCGCTTACCTTCCTGAGCAGCCTGAGGATGTGCACGGCGTGCTCCCGCTTGTGCTCCCGGATGGTGGCTTGGATCTCCCGCAGCCACCCCACCCGCCGCACGTAGGGCGCCGGCGAGGCTTTCCGCAGCACCCCGGGCAGCCGCTGCGGGTGGAGGAGCAGGGACGAGAGGTGGAAGTCGCCCCGGCCGCCCTCCGCCTTGCCGCCGTTGGCTTCCTCGCCGGCGGCTCCCTCCTCTTCCAGGCTGCTCTGCCGGCTCAGCCGGGAGCCCATGGCCGTGCTGCTCCGCTCCGGGCCGCCACCGGGCTCCGGGCACCGGGTCCGGGCCGGGGGAGGTGCCCCGAGAGGCGGGGGGGGTCGGGCTGCCCCTCCCGACCGGCTCCGCCCCGGCTCCCCCCGCTCCCCGCCTGGCTGTTCCCGGCGCTCCCCGAGGACGGGCACCCGGGGGGGTTATTTGCCCGTGCCCCTGTGCTTGTCTTGCCTCTGCCTCTTCTCCCGGAGGCGCCTCCTCCTCTTCTCCTCCTCCTACTCCGGGGCTTGTTCTGCTGGGGGGTCCTCGGTGGAGAAGACAAAGAGAGGAGCGGATGCCGGGACTGCTCCTTGCATCCAGGCGCTTGGGGGGGAGCTTTTATTCCCGGGCAAACTCAACGCTGCCAAAGGCTGTCGAGATTAACAGCGGTTCACAACGTGCCATCTGGCTGGCAGTGCTTATGTGGGCTGTGTTTTCTGTCAGCCTGTTGTTGGACCCAGAGGAGGTGTTTTTACCAAGCTAGAAAGTGGCAGGAATTTTGCCCACTACCAGTCGTCTGCAACTGATAGTACAATTCTGGCACCGTTCCTCACCTGCGGTGGGCAGAAGTGTTTTCCTCATATGCATCCCTCCCTCCCTGAGCAGTGCACAGCAAGTGTAGTGCATGCTTTTCCTTAGATGAAATCTCTGTAATCCAACAGGATGGTAAAAAAAACAACACCCGGATTCCATCTCTAGCCACTGAGATTTTGAAGGCAGCCGAGTCATGCTCCCAGTATAACCAGTAGCTCAGCCTGACCTTCCACGTTCTGCAGCTGGAGTCACGAGCTTGCTCCTTTTCAGGACTATCCTCACACCAAGCCCAGGTGCCTGTGACAGATGGCAAGCCCTGCACACCAAGCCAGGGTGTTGGTGGCTGTAACATGAAGGCACACAGCTGTAGGAACAGCCTGGGCTCCCCACGTGTGTCTGGGAGACAAGCACCACACAGTGCCTCTGCAAAAGGACCTGTTCTTGCAGCCACTGGGCCCTCACTTTGGGAACAGCCACGTCTCTGCTCAACAGAGCCTGAAAGGTTCATTTGCCTTCTCAGCATTCTGCAGAGACTGGAAGGAGGAAGGAGATGTGGGTGCTCGGCAGCCCTGTAGCCTCTTTCAAATACTGTGAGTCTGGTTTGAACAGACAGGGACAAAATGGGGCTGGACTGAGAAGCAGCCTGGCCAATGCATCAGCTGTGCCACAGTATTTATGCAGGGCTCTAACTACAATAGGCCAAATCCTGTGAGCCCTTCTCAGAGTTTTACTCAGTGTTTGATCAAACAAAAGCCCTGACTCTCCCTCTCCCTGTTCATCCCCTCCCGTCTCTAGCTGAGCACCTGCAAGAGAGAAATTAGCATCAACAGATCCTGAGATATTGCTGAACCTGACTCCAGCTAATCCCAGTTGGAGGAAGTAGATGCTGAGTAAGGACTTCGGGATCTGGTTGGAGAGCTCCGGGAGGCTGGGTCAGGAGAAAATCACTTTGCTGTATGGGGTGCAATGTTATGGCTTCAGGAGTGTCACTGGGAGCCAGGGGGGAGACAAAAGCTGCCTGGCTGCCAGCAGTGGGTAAGGTGTTAACGGAGGGATGTGCAGTGGCCTCTTCCCACTGCCCAGCAGCTGGACGAGCTGCCTCAGCCCCTGCTTCTGCCTGCTCCGGTCTGGGAGCGCTGCCGAAAGGAGAGCAGCACCAGTAGGGTTTGTAGCCCAGGGATCAGTTAATAGCAGAACGGCTTTGTACGGCTGAATTGTCTCACCTTATTGTCTGCCTTATCTCAGAGAGTCAGGGGAAGGAAGCATAATCTGCAGTTTACACTTGGGCGGGGATGAGGCTGTGCGCGCTGTTCCGAGGCGGCAGGAGAACCGGCACGAGCGGGCGGCTCAGAGGATGGTATTGTTACCAGGATACCTTCTCCTCTGTGTGTGACTTGAAAATATCCTGCCACAGATCAAATCCTCTTAGCAAACAAACAACTGTGGGAGCTGTTCAGCTGTCTCCCATCTATGTGCTTTAAAACTGGAAGCACTACAATAGCAGGAATAATAGGAGCTAATGAGAAACACACCGAGGCTGGGCTTGGCTCTGCTGAGGGAGAACGGCTGCCTGGCTGCTCTTTGTAGGCTAAGAGGCCACAACATGTGAGCTTGAGGCTTGGAATTGCTCCACCTCATCCCAGTGGATATACCAGCACCTCTCACAAAGGTATTAACTTGGTTCAAACCCAAATACAGGTATACATGGTATTGGTAGGTTCAGCTAGCTGGGTGCAGCGTGGCTGGGTTAGTTTTCCCCAAAAGTCTCTCTTACACCTAGAATGGGGAAATTGAAAGCAATCACATCCTCTCTCTATTCACTCAAATTCTGTGCTGCAAGCACATCTCCTTGTCATCATCCCAGTGTCCAGCAATGGGAACATTCCCAGCTCCTGGCCTTTAGGACAAGTAAGCAGAGCTCAGGTCAGTGCCAGAAAGAGAAGAGCGACTGCCCTGGATCGGACCACAGGTCTCTGTCCCTCAGGATCCTGTATTAGCAGTGGCTAGTAGAGCATGCCTAGGGAGAAGCAGAAGAACAGGAGGGCTGCAGGCTGGTGTTCTCCTGAATATTCTTCTAACCACTAACTATATGTAGCTCAGGAATTTCCTGAGGTAGGGATCTCTCTCTTTAATCATCCTATACTTTTTTTTCTCCTAAAACTGTTTTCATCCTGAGTGAACTTTGTGCACACATAACATCTCACAGCAGTGAGTTCCACTGCTCAGCAGTGTTGTGTGAAGAAATATTTACTTTGTCCTGAATCTGTCGCTTGCTGTTTTCATTTGATGCTTTGTAGCTAAAATCATGGAAGAGACGG